GTACCAGCTGCTCTTGCAGAGGACCTGGGTTCAATTCCCAGCACCCACATGGTGCCTAATAACCATCCGTAACTCTAGTTCCAAGGGAATCCAACATCTTCTGAGCTCCGTGGGCACTGCACAACACGAGTACACTTATATACACGCAGGCAATACACTCATACATATAAAATAAGCCTCCCCACATAGAGTCACATTGTTTTTTTTCTTCAGAGTAGGGTGTAGGATAGCTGCAGTGTCACAGACATCAGTGAAAGGATCTGTTGCATGAGCACAGAAAGGACTATGGGTCTCTGCTGTAGGTCCACGACACCCACTTCATCCTTCACTACTGTAGATACCCAGTGGTACGTGTGAACTGGCAAACATGGTATCTTTACATCAATTTTAACTTTTTTGAGACAGGTTTCAGTGTGGTAGCCCTGGCTGGCCTACAACTATGTCAACTAGGCTTGCCTCAATCACAGATTCACTTGCCTTTGTCTAAATGTTGGGATTAAAGGCTTGCACCACCACAACCAGTTTAACTTTTATTCTTTTATGGTGCTGAGGATCAAACCTAAGGGCTTTAAAAAGCTATGCAAGCCAGGCATGGTGGCACAGTCCTTTAATCCCAGCACCTGGGAGGCAGAGGCAGGTAGATCTCTGTGAGTTCAAAGCTTGGTCTACATAGTGAGTTCCAGGTCAGCTGGGGCTACAGGGAGACCCTGTCTCAAAAAGACGTGTGCGTGTGTGTGTGTGTGTGTGTGTGTGTGTGTGTGTGTGTGTGAAGCTATGTAAATGCTCCACTACTGATTTACTCTTTACTCTCAGTTGTAAACATCCCCCCCCCTTTACATTTGTGTTTGTGTGTGCACAGATGCATATCACAGAGCACTTGTGGAAATCAGAGGACAACTTGTAGGAGTCAGTTTTCTCCTTCCACCCTGTGGGTCCTGGGTATCAAACTCAAGCTGTTAAGCTTTGTGGCAAGTGCCTTTAACCTGATTTGCCATCTCACTGACCCACAAGGCCCCCTCTAAATGATAGTTTCTGAGGACCTGAACCTGACTGATATCCCTACCATCCAGGGGATGCCTGACTACCTGCAGTAGCGATACGGTCATGAGCTATGGGTCCCTACTGTAGTGTCTGCTACGACTGGCATGTGGACCTGGAGATGATTTGCATCTTGGTCTCTTCCTGACACTGCCAACCTGGTGGAAGACTAAGAACACCGAAGAGCATGCTTGTAATCAATCTCAGCACTCAGGAGGCTGAGGCAAGATCACTCCAAGTTCAAGGCCAGTTTGGGCTAACATGGGGAGATTTTTTCTTTTTTGGTCTTTTTGAGATAGGGTCTCTCTGTAGCCCCAGCTGGCCTGGAACTCGCTATGTAGACCAGGCTAGCCTTGAACTCAAAAGATCCTCCTGCCTCTGCCTCCCAAGTGCTGGGATTAAAGGCATGGGCCACCATGCCGGGCAGGAGACTATTTTTAAAAAAGAAAAAAAAAGAAGAGACTGGTCATGCCTGGTGTGGTGCACTCTGTAGTCTCAAAAAAATAAGACATAGCCAGGCGTGGTGGTGCACCCCTGTAGTCCCAGCACTTGGGAGGCAGAGGCAGGCTGATCTCTGAGTTCAAGGCCAGCCTGGTCTACATAGTGAGTTCCAGGCCAGCTGGGGCTATAGGGAGACCCTGTTCCCTGTT